CACCCTCACTTGAAATCTCTTGAAATCACATGAAATCATATGAAATCACACGAAATCATCGAAATCACTTGAAATCAGCGAAGCAACTTGAAATCATGATTTCACGAAATCAGTTTGTTCTCCCTTGCCGCTCTATCAAAAAAAAACAGACTATGAAGTTATTCGTTAAGTTCTTGTTGGACTAAAGTAATCCAGTAGGCCACACCAAATGGAATTGCTTTATCATTGAAATTGTACGTTGGCGAATGTAGTTGTGCAGTGTGCGCTTCATCATTGATTCCCAAGAAAATGAAGGCTCCAGGTCGTTCCAAAACCATGAATGCAAAATCTTCACCACCCATAGAGGGTACTCTGTTTTTGTCCACATTTTCTGCACCGACTACTGCTTTGGCAGCTTTGATTGCTCGTTTTGTTTGTTCTTCATGATTAACTAATGGAGTGCCCAAACGAACATATTCCACTTCAGCTGTACATCCAAAACTGGTAGCTAAACCATGGACCAACTCTTTTATTCGTCTTTCAATTGTACTACGAACGGATTCGGTTAAACTTCGAGCAGTACCACCAATGCGTATTTTAGCTGGCATAACATTGACTGATCCAAACGAACCACTTTCAATTGCACCAACACTAATGACAGCTGAATCAATCGCACTTACATTACGACTAACTATGGTTTGTAGTGCTAGAATAAATTGTGCTAGTAATACTGTAACATCAGTCGCAAGATGTGGTGTTGCTCCTCCATGACCACCACTGCCATGAAATGTTACGTACCAACGATCAGATGCTGCAAACATGGGACCAAATCGTATGGTAAATTTTCCAAGCGGATCCGGATAATTGTGTATTCCATAAATAGCATCCATTGGAAATCGATCGAACATCTTATCGTTAATCATAGCAATAGCACCTTTCTGTCCTTCTTCAGCCGGCTGAAAAATAAAATGAACAGTTCCACAAAATGAATCTCGATGTTCGGCCAAATATTTGGCAGCACCAAGTAGCATTGTAGTATGTCCATCATGACCACAAGCATGCATTGTACCAGGTTTTGTCGAAATATAAGGAACATCAGTTTGTTCAGTGAGTTGAAGAGCATCCATATCAGCACGAAGACCAATAGTACGATCACCTGGTTGTAAGCTTTTTAATGTTCCAATAACACCCATTCGACCAATACCTTCAGTAACAGTTATACCCCATTGTTTTAATTTAGTAGCGACCAAAGTTGATGTTCTTACTTCTTCCATAGCCATTTCTGGATGAGCATGAATATCTTGTCGAATTGATATCAATTCTGGTTGCATTTTGTGCAGTTTCTCAAGCAAAGTATCATTCATCGTTTCTTTAGATGTAGTGTATCAGGAAAAAAAAATCTAAAATCAATGAAACAAAACATAAATACCAAATAAGAGGTAGAAAGGCAAAAGAGAATAGGCACAACACTTTGTGAAACTTTCATATCTGTTTCAAAAAAACCATATTGAGAAGATTTGTAAGATAAATCTAGGATGAATGCTTAAAATTTTCTAGAACTGTTTAGAGTTCTCTTAGAATCTTTCAAAACATTAGATGAATTTAAAATATCAGTAATGCTTTATGTCATGAAATTTACATGAGGCTTTGTCTCAGTATAACTGCATCTAACTTATTTAAATAAGAAACGATAAACTCGAGAAGCAGCATTACTATCATTCTCACTATTGATGTTTATTATATTTCTTTATAACCATCGTGGTGCTTCTTGTGCAAAGAAGACAAGGTAATATAAGATAAAAGAGAAAGTATACCGATGGTAATGGAGAAGAACGAAACGAAGAGAAGATAAGAGAACGAATAAGAGCATTATAGACAGTGTGAGCAACTTCACGTAACCTTCGAAAGAAAAAAATATATTACTTTCATCTTATTTGTTCACAAAATTCTAAATACAAATCAAATTGAATATTGATAAAAGATATGTTGAGAAGAATTGAATTAATATAGAATAGGAATTGAATCACATCGTCAAATAATTGTTTGACAAAAGAGCGCTGAGAAAACAAAAGTAAATGAAAAACCAAATAACCTTCAAATGATTGTTAACATATATTTATTTCTTCGACAAAAAAATATCGAAAATAAAATAATTTTACTGATTCAACTTCTTCAAGCAATAATCTCGTTTACTTCCGATCTTGGAACATATGGGAAAATAAATATTATAGGATTTCATATCTTAAAATAATAAACAGATAATGATCATTGTTAGAAAGCTGAACAAAGTTTAATCGAGACTAGATATCCACGAGTCATGGCGTCATGCCTTTTCATCCCTTCTACTGGGTTTGCTGTCTTTTTGTTGTAAAATAGAACTAAATGTATAAATATCAATGGGTGTAGCGTATGTCCACGACGAAGAATATGAAGTCTATATCTACTCACGAACAATTGTGTGGTATCTACATACTACCGTATTTTAGCGGTTGAGACTAAAATAAAGTATGCCGAACACAACAGTATCATAGACTACCATGAAAATATGTCGTAGTTGGATGTTTCACATTATAAATGTGCTGAAGTTAATCTGATAAGGTATATAAACGACTCAGTTGAATATCTGAACTAATACATTCTTTGAATGTATTTTTTTCTATATCATTTCTGGATTAGCCATTATTCGAGTTAAACTAAAAGATTGTGATTTTTATTTTCGCAGGACAAAATGCGAAATTTAATGTGTTCATATAAGTCAACATTACGACGATATATATCTATGAATGTATACGAAGCAACAGAATTATATGTGGAAAAATAGGATCTTCATGTACGGAGATAGTACATGTTTAACATAGTGTAACAAACTTTGAGACAATGATACTCGCTTTACGTGGCTTTTTCACACAACAAGTCGTACCATTCATACATAAAGTACACGCTTATATAGGATACGACAAGAATTAAGAACGTTAATCAAGCGTAGCGATCATATAAGAAGAGAATGGTTATAAGATTAATGAAGAGAAAGAGATAAAGATAAAGTTGATACAATTTGTTACACATGGATGTATGAAAAATTCACAAAGAAATGATCATCTCTTAAAAAACTTTTCTTTGACTTGTTCAATGAACTGCATTGTCTCTTCTTCTTCTTCTTTCAATATAATTCATTAAATCAAACTTGTCTTGTTCTTAAAGAAAATAAAACATTTACAACAATAAATATGCATCTTGGACATCTTTCAATACATCGTTTACAATATTACGTTTTTGTTGTCTTACTTCATCTTTAAATTGAAATAAGTTAGTTTCCGAAGTATGTTTTCCATAATTCATTAACGTTAACACATAACTTCTGACATATTCAAGATAATTTTTGCCAAAAAAAAACATTTTACATTGTTAGAATTCATGAATAATTGTATTCTTATCAAATAATGATTGATAACCAAAATGACACAAATATTTAATATAAACATATTTAAATATTGGTTGATATTTCAACACTTATTATAATTTATTTGTAAATAGTCACCTTTTCTTGGCAACAGATTTAACGATGCACGAATACTACTGAAGAAACGTTTCAATTTCAGCTTTAACGAATGCTCATAGTATAGTGATGCCTCATCAAACTGGACCGAGAACAAGATGAACACTACCGACATTGAACCGAGTAATGAAAATAGATGAATCATTTTCAGGGAGAACTTTTTATCTGATATTGAGTGCTTTATGTAGTAGTTCAAATACAACTTGCATCAAGAAATTCGCTTCCTGATATTACCGTACTTTCCTAAGTGTCTACCATAAACAACGGGAATTTCATCTCCTTTTACGAAAAAAGGTGATATTCATGGCCAGTGCCTTTGAAAATCAACAAAGATGAAAACGAACATTATTTAATTGAAAAACGGATTGAAATATGTCGGAGAATTTTCTGTTGTGGGCTTTGCTCTATTATATGATGAATATTATTTGAATTCGTAACCGGTGAGTCATAAAGAATACATGATCATTAATGTTTCATGTTTTTCTCAATCAGCTTTTATTGTAGGACCTTATTCTTAGTCTCAAAATATTTCTCATTCAATTCTATTGAAAATTGTAAAACAACATCAGATTGAAATTTCTCACGCATAAATAGAAACAAATAATATTGCACTTTTTGGAGAATATATCATTTTCTAGAATGTTTCCCTTGAAGATCTTCGTTCCTTTTTGTTTTCTTCAACGAGTGCGAGAAGGTAGCTGACCAAGTTCTTGACTACATTGTGATAAGCTTTTCCCATCAATAAAGCAACGAAGAAGGTGTGGGTGTGGGTGTGGGCACGTGTCCTCTAGGCATCGACACCCACACCCACACCCACAGCCACCCACACCCAAGCGTGAAAGTATCTGTACCGAAGGAAAATGGTGAGACTTCATCTACTGCAAAAAATTCGGGTATAGGTAAAAAACAATGAAGTCTCAGTTTTTTTCCCTTGGTGAGTACTCACTACAGTAATCATCCTCGTTTTTTTTTTAAGAATATTTATCAAAGCTAACTTGCTAGAGCTATTGTCACCCAACATCCAAGAAGTCGATCGAAACTACGACTTAATTTATTTGGGTGTGGGTGTCAGTTTTCATTTTCTGTATACCCACATCCACACCCCTAGCAATCGTTTTGATGCGACAAAATTTGTTTCCTTTCATCTTGACGATCTCGGAACATCCTTGTTTAGACTGTCCTTCCTAAAGTTGAATGCTTCGCATTATTTGTCTCGTCGCGTATTGATATGTTGACACAAGTTAGACATGAACTGAATCCTACATTCGAATCTCTAGCTTTTAACAGATAGTATTGGTCACAGACTCTGATCACATCCTTTTTGTAATTGATTTTCTACAGTGTATTCGTTAATTTCAGTTTTGTTTTTACGAAAAAACACGTAATCATAGTCTAAAGCATTGATTCCCGTTCGCTCATAGTGTTATTGATTGATGTTCCATCGTCGTTCTGTGTTACTCTTCGTTTCATAGAATGATAGAATAATGATGAACATAATAAATTCAAACTAAGTAGGTTATGATGATACTCACTGGTTTTGATGAACAAAATGGAAATATCTCACTTGGAGATATCAACAATGATCTATCTACGGGTCGTGAATCTTTCGACTCTAAATCAAAAATAAGTATTAGTCTGATGATAAAAAAAAAATTTTTTCTATTATAATGTTTTACCAAAAATTGAGGCGAATATCAGACCAAGAATAAAAGTGATGAAGACACCATTAAAACTATACCACAATGGAGATATTGAGAAGAGTGATGTCAATGGATTAGGCCTAACAATTGTAAAAAACCAAGAAGATCTAGTCATTTCTTCCGAAATAGAATTACCGTTCGTTTATTGATGTCGAAACACTCATATTTACGGATGGTATACATCCGACAATTGACGTCGGCAATCGTCCTCTTTGTCTTAGATGTGGTTTTACAGTGACAGTAGCCCCAACTAGTACCCACATTTGGAATATCAGACAGAGAAGAAAGGCAATGAGAACACTCTATGGATGTAAAAAGAAATCAAATATGAGACATATTTCATAGATATAATTTATTTTATTCACTCGACTTTGAACGCGTGGTGCAAAAAATCCGAGTAAATAAACATCAAGAATCGGAGTTGCAAAGGCGTCGAAGATTTGTAAAACAATCTAGATATAAAAGAAAAGAGATAGATAAGTAGAGAGTTATTAGAGCGTACGAACTGTTATGATGTTATTCTTCATATAAGACACGATGAATGCGAGAAATATAGTGAGGAGACCGATCCCGACCGCTTCACAAACGAGAAGCAACAAATCGAATGCTGTGAGTAGATAGAGAATCATACTCACACAAGAGTTTCGACACTGTCGCTTGACTTTTATTCGATATTGGACGTGTGATTGGCAGCCGTTTATAGATATCTTCGAGGATAACTGCTGCCATACTATTAACTCCACTTGAAATTGTACTTAAGGATGCACTCAAAACAGAAACTATGAAGAGACCAGTTAAGCCAGGAAATTGTCCTAATATTTGAATAACAAACAACGGATAGAACTAGCGAAAAAAAACCTGTCTCAAATTCAATTTATTATGGATTGATTATCCTACTTGATCCGGTTTCGAAATGAGTTTAGCTCGAAGTGGATCGCATTGACTATACTTTGCATAGAGAAGACATCCAACACATGTACAAAGAATTATTATCATTACAGTCATCACATAATAAATCCAAGCAGCCCTATGTGAACAAATTTTTAAAAAACCACTCGTAATTCTTATCTTGGAATACCGTTGTGCCGCTTTTATATCTTTGACACACATATATCTTTGTGCATGAGTTTGTAAACATGCGCATAAGGCCGTATCAAAGAACGTCTTACCGAACAGGATACTCCAGAAAGTATAACGAACCGACGGATCCAGAGTCATACTACAAAAAAAAAAAAGAATTTTTGAAATTCGTTCATCTATAGTCATGATTCACTGTTACACTGAGAATTGTAATCGATTTCCGGCGGTCAATGTTTCAAATATTTTTGTTATACCACCCATATTGACGAAGCCTTTTCTATCAGTTTAAAAAACGAAAATTGTTATTTTCAATAATAAACTGGGTGTGGGTGTGGGTGCGATTGAAGAGAAGAATAACACCCACACCCACACCCACCCACACCCTTCATTACTTTTTTTAATGATTAACACATAGATGCGGTATGACAGAGACATGGATGGCTAGTGTCTTATATGCCAGTCTCCTTTTTTTCTTTGTTGTGCAAGTTAATCGGTTAAACTAAAAAGATAGAAGCTTAGTCGATTACATATTCATTTGTTTTTCGATTTACACATTAATGTGCTAAAATATAAAGACAGAGAGTAAATCTTATGTCTATGCACTTCTCAGTTTTGTTGTGCAAGTGAATGGACTAGGACAGAGAGATATATAAATAGACTTATACATATCTCTTTTTTTTCATTGGGGAAGATTATGTATTCAAACTGAGACAATCAATTAATATTTTATATATTCATTTCTATTTTTTTGGCTAGAAAAATAGATATCTCGCTTTTTACATATTCGCTTCTTTTTATTAGTCTGTATATCAACATATTAAGATAGAGAGAGAGATAGATATTTAATGTATTTGAGAGTACTTTTTTCGGTGTACATGTTAACACAATAAAAAAGAAATATCCACAGTTAATGCATAACATATTTGTCTCTTTGTTTCTTTCTGACAACAAATAAGTTCGAATAGAGCATTGGATTCTTCAATAGTCATTTAAGAGCGTAGCTTTTGAAAATTTTCTTGCCATTGTTCGAGTTACTATGCAAATCATATTTCTATCGTTTCCTAGAAGTCAATGATATGAATACGTACAGGAAAAATAGAAATTACTAGAGAACTAAAATGATCTCAAAAAATTTGACAATGACATTATTCAAAGTAGTTTTGTGTTTTGTTCTTTGAATGATACCGAAGGTTAAACAATTACTATTAAAATTCCTCTACAAAACTAAAATAAGATTATTTAGAAAAGTAAATGGAGAAGCTTCTCAGAAAAATTTGTAACACTGCAAGGAAAAGAGAAAAGTTGAAAATACAGGGTGCCCTTAAGGCCGTTTCTAGTCTACAATTTAACAGTTTAAAAAGTAACAAACTACATACAAAGCTCGTCACCAATTTTTCGTTATCAATTATATCCAAAAACTGACAAATCTCTCTACACCACTCTCGATGAACTATGAAATAAACACACAGATGCTCCCCATTTATTATCGGACACTATATACGTCCAAAACATAACACGTCATTAACCTTAATTCTCCTCTTCCAAATATAAATTTCATCGAGTTCTATATATAAGTAGTCTGCTACTAACGTGTTTAAGTCACCCAACCTCATCTCACCCACACCCATCGTCACCCTCACCCATTCTCTTTGATGCATATGCCTTTTCTTTACAGTTTTCGCGGAAAGCCGATATATATGCACAAAAGACACTTGGATAGTCGCTTTCTTTTCGCGGGAAAAATTCAACAATATAATGGAGAACAGTGCAGTTGGTTGACTATCAGCAGTGGGTTTTTTTCCAACTTACAAGAAAAAGAACATAAAGTCAATATTCAGGTGAAATGACGATGAATCAGCAAATATTGACAATCATGACAAGCTGTTTTTTATGTTCTAATGAAAAATCTTCTACACTAAAAAGATATCGATTTCGCACGCAACTTTCAGAATTTTTATATATGTAAAAATACAAAAACCATATGAATTTTTTACACAAGAATAGGCTTTGTGTGCAGGAAAAGAAATCTCCCAAGAATTTTATCAAGAACTATAATTTTGTGCACTTATTCATCCTAATTCCATTTATGTTCGGTTGTATGATAGGCAAACCTAACTAAAATGAAATTATTGTCATTTTCTAATGAGTATGTGGTCAATCTATTTTATATCTGGTCTGATTTTTTCATAAAAGTGATTTTATTTGCTGTTTTTTTTTTGTTTGGTGTTCAAAAGACACCTTGCCTAAACGTCAGTTATAAGTAAATCAATATTAGCTTTTGATAATCAATCATTAGAAAATATTCTCAAAAAAAAAAAATAAGGATCTTGTAAATGATTGTGTTTATTTTTAATTTTGTTTACTGAAGTTAAATTTGGTTGTTATGCTATTCGATATCTATTCAGTTTTTATTTGATTAATTCATATATCGACTGTCTCTGTAACGGTGTGGGTGTTGGTGTGGGTGTGGTTGTTGGTCTTCTTGTCACTCACACCCACACCCACATCCACACCCTCACAAATACTTTGATTTCTGTGGGAATCTAGCTTAGTTCTTTGAACTCTGAAATATAGACCTTTCTATAATCAAAATTCTCACATCCATAACTACTATGCTCGCCTGTACCACCAAAGTGATACTTTTGTACCATGAAAATGCTCACTTGTACCACGACTATGGTACATTATACCATGAAAATGCTCATTTGTACCACGACTATGGTACTTTGTGCCATGAAAATGATCATTTGTACCAGGTGTTACAGACAGACACACAGACAGACACAGGTGAATTTCGGTTTCTAGACCCTATCCTTTCAGTCTAGGGAATAGAGTAATTGATATTTATTGTTGTATTCAAGTTTTGGTATTATTAGAATATAAGATAATTACTTGATTTAGAATTATTTATTACATCACTTCGAAAGTATTTATGTATTTCAGTTTTTGAATTCTACCGTTTCAATCGCATTCACTAAATGCTAAATTTTTCTATAAGCACCATTATGTGTCATATACCTTTAATTGCACTATTTAGAGAAAATTAAGTTTCAATTTCATTAGTACTTATAACCATTTATTATACTCTCAAATCGTGATGATAAGACATACGCGCGATATAAGGCATCTTTACTTTTTAAAATCTCCCTCAATCCGTCTCTGCTCGTCATACAATCGATTCAATCGTTTTAAAAAATATAAAATATCTCTATGGAAACCCAGTTTTTAATATTTTATTATTTATCTGAGAATCCTGAATGGAAATATTTCTCTCATGAATCGCTGGAAAATATTCTTCTTACTAATTGTTGGAAATTCGCGAATTATTCAATGCCTTTACGTCCCCATGATCAAAAAAAAAAATAATAATAAAATTTTATATTCTTTGTAAAAAAAATACAAGCAAAATACTTGCTAACTGTATAAAAAAATTCTTCAATCAAATTTAACCAATCATTCAGTGTCCCTATTATTCAGAAAAAGTTTCAACAAAAATTTATATTCATTGCAGAAAAAAAAGAAATACATACTCAGTATATAAACATATATAGGCTACCATATCTAACTACCTGCACGTGTTTTGTTAATGTAAGAGAGTTGATGAAAATATGCTTTTGCTTTTTTTTCATATGTTAAACAAAGTTAGTATTCGTTCCGTGCGAGACGAGAAAAAAAACATAATGTGCATGCTGGTTTGTCTGACTACTTGCCTTTTTCACTGAAGTGAAACGAAAGCAATCTACGCATCAGTGATCAACATTATAAAAGAGGGTGACAAGTGTGTTTATCTTCATATTTTGTTATTTTTTCTACATTCATTTGAATTTATAGTTCGTGTGTTGAGTCATTCCTTTTTGACTCAAATTATTTTTGGGCATTATTTAAAGGTAACTATGAATACACTATTTTCATTTAATCTGCACTGTTTAGATGATATCTGTTCATGTCAGAGATCGTTGCCCTAATGAATAGCATAATTCGGATTCCTGTTCTATTTTTGTTCTTGTGAATAAGCAAGAAGATCGGCAGCTTATAAAGAAGTCGAGAATACGAAAGGTGCCTTCTATTCTTTGAAACTTTTTTTGCACAATCTATTCACGTGATTTGAATATTGCGTTCTATGTGTTGTACACATAAGTTACTTACAAACATGCTGATCGATTCTTACGTGAAGCTTCAGTTCATCCATCAGAATCGACTGCAACTTCGTCTTAGATATTCTTTGCACATATGTGATGTAGTAAAATAAAGAAGTTTTTTCTCTGCAATATAATTTAAATAGAAGTAGATTCAGTAGTTCAGAATTACTAGATGCTCTAAAGCAACACTCATTACGTTGTATATTTGACACAATGCGATCAGACAATTTTTGTGATAGTAATATGACGCAGATTAAACAAAACTTTTTCATTTACAGTCCTTAATTGCACTAAAATCTAGAACACATAGAAGAGATTACAGTTGGAACCACCATTCCTAATGCTATTTTGACTAAAGTATGATACAGATGAAGCCAGTCCAGTTTCTTGAAGATCAGCACTAGTACTAGTCTGAATAGGCCAGACCTGATATCTGAAATGATACCACTTTTGGCCATGGTTGGTAGCGATTCTCTTTTAGGACAATGTTATTCGACATGGCTAGGTTTCAAGAAAAGCTTGTTAGTGCAGCTCCTTTAAGACTGAAATGTAGAACTCACGTATCTTCTTTAGTTTGCAGTAGTGTAGCCAATGGATGGGCAAATGGGCAATTGCCCATTTCATTTGGAGATTTGCCCATTGAAGTTTTACTTTTTCAGAATGGTTTATTTATTTTTGAATTAGATAATAACTCTATTTTTATTCTTCCATCTAAATTACATATACACTTTTTGCTTGTTTTTTTTGTGAACAATTAAGAAAAGAATAAGGAAAGAATTGCTTCTGGTATTTTAACCACGGTTACCAGATGAAAAACTTCAAAGTCAGAAATTCTTGTTTTCCAAATCAGAAAGAGTAATGTTTTGCAAACCAATGACTATCATGTTGACTTACTTGCACAAAAGACTTCACTTTTTCTGTTTATAGACTCATACTTTATTTCCAAAAGTATTTCATAGTAAAGAAAGACAACACAACCATTATATAACTCAGAGTGAAAGATCCTGTACTATAAATTAAGGAGATTGATCATAGTCAAATCAAGTGAATGCACTCACTGTCAAACCAACTAATTAAAAATATGAGCTGCCAATAGCATACACAGACTGAAATATTCAAATT